CTCTGATTGGTTGAAACTAAAGTCTCAATATCTTTCTTGTTTTTTGACAAAATCTTTTGAAATTTTGAATATAGTCATACATTAGGGAGATCTACAGCCTGATATAAAAGAATTATCATGAAAGCATGTGCATGCACGTGTGCTTGCAAGAGCGATATAATTGATATAGACGTAACTATTTAAGTTTTTTATGGAGTGTTTTGAAACTTATAATATAAGGATATATTAGAAGCGTAGACTAGAAGACATGGTCAAAATAGCAAGATCTCATGTGCATGCACGTGCACCTCGCTCTGATTGGCTGAAACTAAAGTCTCAATATCTTTCTTGTTTTTCGACAAAATCCTTTGAAATTTTGAACATTGTTATACTTTATGAAGATCTACAGCATGGTATATAAGAATTATCATGAAAAGCATGCGCATGCACGATTCCTGCAATCTGATAGGCTGAAAATTTAATTGTCTATAACTTTCTTAGTTTTCATCGAAACGGGATAAAATTTAGAATATGAATAGGTATAATGAATTCCTACATAATGGTACTATCAAAATTGAATGCACGAACATACATTTATGCACGTGCATGCGCGAAGTACGCAAAATGGCCAAAATACATTAAAATGTATATTATAAAGATTTTTTTTTATCTATTCTCGCGATCTATTGATATGTTAATTGTTTAGATAACATGCCGTGATCATCTTACATGTACATGCACGTGCGTGCACGTACAATGCGTCTTACAGGAATTAGCACAAAAAGGGATTTGGGGAGCGTTTGGGGAACATCTGTAACGGTCCCCGTTACAATTAGCACTAGTTCCTTTTGGACTACATTTATATTGTTTTTAATAAAATATCAAATATTCCTCACATTCGATGTGCCGCCTATTAATACAATACTGCCTGGTTTTTCGGTGGACTGCCTCTTAAATGATTTACTGAATGAATATTTTCAGTTTAACTCCAAACGTAATATGAACAGTGTGCAATATTTTTTTTAAGGGAAGTCTATTTTATTTTAACAGATAAAATATTTTTGCCTGGGATCAACTGGCTTCCATATTTTTCAAAATAATTTTAAAACATTTGTATATGAAATTAATCATTGGCTTTCTCTTTGTAAAATTATTTAGAGACAATTGTGTGAGGGAGAATTTACGCAACCTTGCAGATGTCCAGAAAATCATGGCGCAGAAAGATGTAAATACAAATATGGTATGATTAAGATTACAAGCTATTTTATCTTATAAAACAATATAAACATATATCCTTAACACTTACTTAAAATGTTTTGACATTTAAAGATTGCAGTGGAAATCTTGTTCACCTGGCGACATCTTCATATTCATTTTTTCGAGAGTTTTCAAATGGAAATACAATTGAACTATATTGCGACATGGAAACAGAAGGCGGCGGTTGGATAGTAAGTACATGTTGTTTTCTTTTTTGTTGAAATTGTGACATGGGATACTCATATTTCCATTTCTTTGCATGTTAATTTCCTTTTCCATTAATTCCTAATGTATATATCAATATATGAATGCTCATCCACCCGGAAATCAATGGTTTTTTTGAGTAAATGTAAAGTACTTTTCAAAATGATTTCTTTTCTGATGTGAATTCCCTTTTTGTCCCTCTCAGCCTGATTGTTAATTATTTTATCGATCCTGTCAAATGTATTTAAAATGGATTTTCTATATGTTTTTATTTACCTTATAATAAAACACAATTAAAGGGTCTTTTTATTCAAAACTCGCGTTGTATATGTAAAATTCAAACGATAAATAATAAAATTTGAAAGAAAAATATGATTATTCCTAAAAACCATCTACAGTATATGTATCAGGCTCAACATTCCGTTTTTACGCCACAAATTAAAGTTATTTGAGAGCAATTAAAGACCCCTTAAATAATCTTCAAGTTGAAATCTAATGATGTGAAAAATAACTTTCAACTGTCGACTGAGTACACCACTCTAGAGCACTTTCTTATATATATGACCAGTAAAACTTGGTAACCGCATGAACACAATGAGCATATATTTGGAAGGATATCCATCAATAAGTATTCAACTTCACGACAACTTGTATTTTGTAATAAAGCCATTGAATAAAACAACGATTTTTTTTAAGTTTCGTCAACTTAAGGTCATTTTTAAGAAAACATTTATAATATCTTCTTCGTCAGATCATTTTTTAGTTTGGGAATCAATTGTGCATGTTTTATGAACTTTGATGTTTAATGGACTTTGATATTGAATACTGTTTGTTATCTCCATATCCTTCATTGTACATAGAATAAGCTCTCACTTATCGAATCAACTCGGAGTCACAACACACCATGTGTAAATTAAAATATCATATCAATATTGATATATAATAGATTAAGGCCTCTAATCGTAAGAATCATATTAATAAAGTTTAATTTTACCTTTTTTCAGTGCCTTCTAATCATTACTTTAGAATTAAATAAATTAGTCATTTTAAGTTAAATGAGAGTATGTACATCCATTTAACTTTACTAACCAATGCTTTTTTCACAATATTGAAACAATCTATTTAAAAAGATATTCCATCCACAATATCAGATAAGAGTCTACCCTTTGACACCGACAAATTGACTGAAGAATGTAAAAGTACAACTAACTGGTATATTGATAGGTGTTACGGAATAGAAATACATTAAGCTCATAATCGGAAGGGTCCTCAGGAATGCATTAACCACTGTAGTGTATAACAACACACCAAAAAATTGTATTGATCCACTATTTGATAGTTTGATTCATGCTAAATTTCCAGAAAAGGTTAAGATCAAATTACACGTAGAGAGGTATATTAACTATACTAATTGTTAGGCCATTATTTACACACTGAATTGTTGACGGATTTTCCCGTTATTTCCCGATCATGACAAGGAGCACACGATTGGTGTGACAGGTTGGCAGGGGATTTTCACTCCTTCATGGCACTTGATCCCACCTATGATGTTTTGGAAACACGTGTTTGCACTACTTTTTTGTATTTGTTTAATGCATTTTAAAGCTTGCTTAATGTACGTTATTTCTATGTTTCATTCAGTTACACGAATGACGTCTTATATCTCAAAAAAATATGAATTCCTCAAGTGTGTATAATACTGTAAACTAACTTTTATTCGCGACGACTTTATTTCGCGATTAACCGGGGTAAGACCAATTGGCGACGATTAATTTTTGCGATCAAGCCTTTTTTTATCTGTTGTTAGTAGACAGAGACTTTCAGAGCTGGTTCGCGGCGAGAAATATTAGCGATGACGAGGCTCTCGCAAACTTCGCGAAAATTTCTCGCACGCAATTAAAAGTTTGTTTACAGTATAGAATCTAAAGTATGAATATGATCATAAATCATTTTGATTGTTTCCTCGAAGGTCTTTCAAAAACGCATGGACGGAAGTGTTAATTTTTACAGGAACTGGAATGATTATACCGATGGGTTTGGGAACTTTAATGAATATTATAAAGGTAAGAACTTGCGTACGTTTGTACGAGAACAGTAATTCGCGAGTGAACTGTTCATTAAATTATGCATCATTTTCAGCGCCAAAAGAAAGATAAATTTTATTTTTTAGGCCAAACAATTACCTTTAAATAAATGTTTCAAGAAAAGTCTAGCACATAACAAAAAATAAAGAGGGAAATGGACTCTTTATTTGGTGGTATGCTCAAATCAAAGGACTCCAATCCCTGCACAAAACCGAAAACAATATATCAGGAATCTGTAAACTGCTAGCTGATTTCTAATCTAAACCAATTACGAAAAAAATATAATGATGATTAAACATGTTAAATTTAATTTTGATTGATTTCGTATTACAAAATTTGTGTTGTTGCGGTCAATCACTGATCAGTTCACTATTTACTTAAAGTCAACAACTGTTACTCTTAGCTTCCTGTGAAGTCGATTACAAGTAAACTAATTTCCCCTTAGTGGACGTAATTATTCTATAAGTAGGTAAGTTCTTTAAAACCGATGAAAAAAGTTTTATTTATGCACTATTCCATTGATTTGAATAATCCTTAAGCAAATGACATCTGAAAAGTATTGTTTTGTTCCCATAAATCGGAAAATAAGCTATCCATCAATAGAATGCGATTTTTCACATACAGACTGTGGGGAAAAAAAGCGACCACATTGAATCTAGATATCCGTCGAAACGGAAGCCACCTAAGCTATACCCTTTCCAGATACTAAAAATATAAATGTTAACAATTTTGGAAAGAGTTGGTCGTCCTATTTGACAAACTGTTTTTACATTTAATTTTTATAATTATGCTAATACCTATTTCTCTTTTTACGTATATTGCTTATTCTCAGGAAATCAGGCATTGTATGAAGTTGTGAAAGATGGAAGCTTCAAACTTAGAATAGACATGGAAGACAAAACAGGAGAATGGCGATACGCAAAGTATTCACATTTCTCGATAGGTGGTCCCGATACAAACTTCACGGTGAGCGTCTCTGGATATACGGGGAATGCTGGTGAGTTTGCAAGTATGAAGTACACCAGAATGTAATAGTTCTTTTAAAATATGATTTTTTTTTCATCATAATATATCACAAGTTTGGCTTTCCAGAAAGCCTGAAATGTTATATCTTTGGTATCAATAGAGTCAAAGAAATAAAACAGAAGGGAAATATTTTAATGCAATGAATATATGGATTATTATACCTGAAGTTCCCGAATGACTTATTCAGCAAACAGAAAACTAAGCTGACAGGTATTTTAAGGTTTCGTCAAAGGTCAACATGTCTAAAAATTATTTTTACAATTGCCCCAAAAGTATGTGTGGTATGAAGTCAAAACGTTTACATTTTGTAAATATATCATAGATTAATAGATAGAAAGTATTACTTGATAACAAATATTTTTAAAAAGATATTTTTTGAGAAAAATTGCATCAGAAAATGTGCATATTTTTAAAAAATGCACCTGCTTAATTCTGTCCTTTTGATGAAAACCAACATTGTAGAAATAATAAATGTTTATCATTGAAGGGCAAGTTGGACGTGAATGGTCTCTGAAAGGCTGTTATTGAAAGCATGACATGTATAAAGACAAGACCCCTATAGAATCCGCCATTTGCAGTGTACTTTCACTTTCAAGTCTTAACATTTGGACAAAATAAACAGGGAAAACAACTTTCCAGAGGCTATCCAAGTCCAACTTGCCCTTCATTGATAAACATATTTTGTTTCTGCAATGATGGTTCTCACTAAGAGAACGGAAATAATTAGGTGTATTTTTTTGAAAATATATGCATTTTTAAGAAGAATTTTTCTCAATTAATATTATTCCCAGTATTTTTTTTATCAAGTGTTACTTTCTATCTGTTAATCAATAAGTAATTTATAAACTGTAAAAGTTTTAACTTTATACCTTACATAGTTTTGGGGCTATTGTAAAAATAAAAATTTGGACAT